TTTTTAATATTAAAATAATCTGCAATTATTATTATTTATTATTTTATTATTTTCAATATTAAAATAATATTTTAATATTGAAAATAATAAAATAATATTTATTATTTTCAATATTAAAATAATCTGCAATTCGACGATATAACACACTAGAGACATATAATTTCAAGAGGAATTCATTGAGTTTTTCTATAAATTAAGTTTTTTAATACAAAAATTCTCTGAAAGAATCATTTTAAGTTTTGAACACACACACATACACACACACACACATATAATCTACCAATCTTTAGAATTTTATAGTTTTTGAAAAAATTATGAGCAAAGAACTTGCATTGTAAAACTTTTCTGATAAATAGTTTATTTTATTTCTTTCTAAAAATATATCTCCCCTAGATAGTTTGACAAAAATCGAATACACATTGAGAAAGTCTACTTGCAAAATTGAGACGTCTTTTGCATGCCTTCTTTATATCACCTGTAAATTTCGCAAGTGTCGATTCGCCTCCATCAATGCAGCTAAAAATGCAATGACGAGAGACCATAGGGCACACATAGCTTCTTGGAACAAGAACAACGATATTGTACTACTTAAAAGTTAAAACTGATATATGTGGCATAAAAAAAAAACGTTATATTTATCTTATTAGCAACTAGCAAAACGATACTAGTTGTTCCAGTTCCGAGAGGTATCGGTATTATATTTCGCGAAAAACTTACTTTGCCATTGCAAACATGCACCTGTCTTTATGGAATGACCACAAAACTGCGCATATTCAGTGCGTAATTTTTAAATATTTAATGGTAACCAATTTTTTGGTGAATGTAAATAATGATAATAAGTGAATGAATTTTTTAGTTTAACAAAATTTTCACAACTTTTACAGTGATTCCTCGTAAACTCAATATTAAAACTGGAATTAAAATGATAAATTTAATTAAACGTTATGTAATAATAACGTTATGTAATAACATGTTATATATTAATTAAAACTGTTTGTTGTGTGAAATATGAAGTGCGATTTTGAGGTCATTCCGTGTCTATACGCTGACGTGTAAAATATCTCTAGAAATTTAATTATTAGTTCCTTCTCCACTTTATAATTTGTAACAATACTTGGGCTTCTTGTCTGGTTTTTTCTACGCTATGTCGTTCTTAGTACATGTTTTTGTCGACAATTCGCCATCACACGATCTCCTCCTTCGTTCTCACCGATCAAATCGAGCGTCATCGCGCTTCACATCACATTCGATATATGCGTGTTCCACCCACGTGCGAGACTCATCATCATTATCGTCATCATCACATCTCCATCTCACTTTGCTCTTTTTCTTTCTTTCTCTCTTTCTCTATCTCTCTCTCTCTTTCTCTCTCTTTCTCTATCTTTTCACCATTTATCTCGTGTATATGTATAATATCATCCATCGGAGACACACTTTTTAACCGATATGTATTACGTATGCTCCTTTTTCTCTTTTTCTCTCTCTCTCTCTCTCTCTCTCTTTCTCTCTCTCGTTCTCTCGTTTTTCCTTCCCTTTTCTGTCTGTGTCTATTTCATCATATATCTGTCTTTCTCTCTATATATATATTATATCTGTATCTATCTATATGAGTCTGAGTCCGTTAATATATTGCCTTACTATAAGAGGGTTGGACTGAAGGTTTCTTCTATGTATTTTTTTTTATTGGTCCTGATATTTCTTTTTCTATATTTTCATGTATATATTGATGATCACCTTATTGTTTTCGGACTTTCAGTTTTTTTTCTTTGTTTTTATTTTTACATATCTAGAGTGTCGAGTATTAGGCACGTTCTGTATGTAACGTGTGGCATGTGGCATGTGTGTGTATACGTGTGTACGTATGACAATGCGCGAAAATACATTACATACATGTAATATATACGATTCTCGCATAGACACGCGCATGTATGTTCTGCATGAGAGAAAACGCTTCCGCCGTTTTTTCTTTACATATCTGTTTTTTTTTCTTTTTTTTTTTATATATATTTTTTTTCTCTCTAACTCGCGTCTTCAACGTGCATGCTAACTGTATTGTGCGGTAAGCTTTCCGTTGCTCCGAGACGGAAGGTCGGCGGCGTCGTTGTTGCGGGCATCGACGAGCGTACTCGTACGTAATTTCATGAACGGCGGATTCGGTAAGAAAAACGAATTCTTGTCTCTCTCTTTGTGTAATTGCGATCTACATCTCTTGTGCACCTCGATCATCGGCATGGGCACTACAATCTTCACCGATGTGTTCTACTTTTTTTTTTTTTTACTTCGAACAGGAAAATTTGTGAACGGTAATCATATACACGGAGAGCGTTCACTTGTAGCGATGTTTCTTGTCAAAAAGTAAAAGATATATTTTTTTAAAAATGACTTTGTTTTAATAAAATATAAAATCTAATAATAAAAAACGACGATATAAAAAACATTAGTAACAATCCGATTACCTCTGTTTTAAACAACAAGAAATATCGCTATGTTTAATTACTTCTACTAAATACTTCGTATGCACTTGTTTTCACTTACACTACCCTAATTTATTTGCTCAAGCGGTTTACGGCTACGCAAGTGAATTTTTTAAAAATCATGTTATTTTTTTATTTTTTATTTGTTTTTTTAAGTATCTCTGTTCCTTCTCGCGCGAGAGCAATATTTTATTGCGGATTCGTCAATATTACGGTACGTGTGCCAGCATCATGGTGTTCAAAATTGAAATCTTTGATGTGACGATTTTTACGTTACTCCTGATCCAATTAATGCTACTAATTAAAAATTCTGTTTTGACACGACAAGTCGATGCCCGAGCGATGCGCCATGCTTTTTTAGCTTTTCCGCGAGATCGGATGTCAATCGCGAACGATAAACAAATATCGTACGAAATGTGAGGTCAGTCGGGGTGATCGTTTCACCATGAGACGAAATCACTGATGACGCAACACGATATTCAGTGATTATATATAAATGCAAATAATTATTTTTGCAACAATTTTCTAAGAGTCTGCTTTCCGACTGAAAATTTGGTTGAAAAATCTTTCTTAAACCCTGTTGTTTAAAACACATTGTAAAAAAATGTGCAAAAGAATTTCCGACTTTTAAGAATTTGAACTTTTTAAACATACTTTTCGGTTTTCGCTTGCCTTCGCGATTTACCCTGATTTATCTCGCACAAATCGCGGCACGAACACTCGACTTTCCGTTAAAAACGAAAAACGACGGAATGCGTACCAGTTTTTCTTTTTTTCTCCGCGCGCGATATGACCTCTGTCCTCGGATTTTTGATTTTTGGTTTCTCTGTTTTTTTAAGTTGACTAATACCGGACAGCAATCGATGCCAAATGTAAAAGAGCCCCAAACGAGTACTGACTTGTAACACGCACAACGCACGCACAAAACGTATAACCGACCGCAGGTAACTATCTAACGGAATTAATCATATTTACGTAATTATATCTTACGATTGTATGTCTTTTTTTTTTGTTCACTTACTGCGATTCACGACTCATCATTGCGCTCTCTTTCTCTCTCTTTCTCTCTCTCCTCTCTCTCTCTCTCTCTCTCTCTTTCTATTTCTCTCTATTTCTCTCTTTCTCTTTTTCAGTCTTTTCTCTTTCGTCCATTTCGCGTCTCTCCTTTTTCTCTTTCTCTTTACTTTATTCGTTCACCACATATATTCTGCGTTTGCGAAAGTCATCATTATTTCTCGTATCACGCTCATCGTCTCACCCTCATACTTTTCCTTCGACCATCATCGTCTCTTTTCACGCACAATTTATTACGCATGCACATTATTTGCACATTACTACGCATGCATGATGTAGAAGGAAAAAATAAACGAAATTCGACTCGCGATCTTTCGATCGTACGATCGTGGCGTGTCGAAATGCGTTTTCGCGCTGAAATATTTTTTGTGCGACAGTTGAAATAATTTTTTTAGCGACAGCTGCTTCTGTCGTATTTTACGGCGCTTGCAAAATCGGGAATTGAATCGAGAATTGCGTATCACACGTGTATCATCATTTCAATCGCATATCGTGTTGCAGCACAATCATTTTGAATATTCAAAATCATAGAAATGGTATTAAGTGTATCCGCAAATACTTATATCTTGTGTATCATGTATTTGTACATGTAACCAACAACAAAATATTGTATTTTTTATTTGAAAAAATTTATTATTACACTGATCTACTAATTAGATATTTTATTACAAAAACTAAAAAATTGCATTTGCGACAACGATACATCGGTATACAAAAGCCATTGTATGAAACCTATGTCGCGCGCGAGCATCATCAGTAGTTCATCTTCTAATTTCATTATTTGCATCGAGACGCGCCACTTTCTATGATCACTGCTCTCATTGTCAGAAAAAGCATCCCTGTAGCGACAGCACATTAAACAAATGTATTGTAATATATATCTATATATATGTACACTGAACGTAAATACAATATTAAACTCTGATGAATATTTGTCTGCACTGAACGAATCTCCAATGTAAAAGTGTGTTTCTGCACATATACTCGGGTGTAAATAATTGATGTGAAATTTTCGGAATTCTTTTCTATACGTTTTATATAACGTTGTATATTTATTTGCACATGTCTCTGTATGTATATCATATCTCTACACGCGTAAGTATGTATATGTATCGGTGTACATCACAGCACACATTCACTGTCTTTCGGCGTAAAACACAACATAAAACTCGCGGAGATTCCAGCGAGTTCACGATGACACTTTTTATTATAGGATGCTTCTTCTGACACCTGCGCGAGAGCGCAATCACATGAAAAAAAAAAAAAAAAGCACGATCTCCCCGATGCCGAGGAGCGTCACGCCAGCAGAAAAAAGACGCATTCAGCGGCTTTGTTCTCCCAAAGAGGACGATGCTGGCGTGATGTCGTGCGGCAAATGCCGTCCTGACCGGGCGGTAGCAAGACGATTTTCTTTTTTATCAGTTTGTTGATTCCACGTGTCTGAACGAACAGGCAGCTGCCCCTGTGCCAGCGGAACGCACTGTCGTGGGGTCAGCGAGCGTCCTCGGGGGAGGGGGCCACCCTCACGAGCCATCCGCCGACCATCAGCAGCGTCCGGAGAACGCACTCGACGCTCTGCTAGACGAGCTGCAGACTTTCTCACGACCGGGCTCGCAGATGGGTCACCACCACGTGTCCGGCGGCCTGTCAGTGCACCCGGGCTCTAACGCGCTCCTGGCCGATGTGGGTCGCGCTTCCAGCCTTCGAGAGACTACGGGCGTTCCTGCAGCGACCACTACTGGCGGTGTCCACGGTCGCGCACCTAATATCAGCGACATTGGCCGGAAGGGCAGCGTCGATTCATCGAGCGGTGCTCTTACCGCGCCTCCACCTTCTGCCGGGTTAATGGGTCTACCTGGTATGGTACCGGGCGCCAGTGGAACTCTTCGTCGTCTACATTCATACCCCTCGAGTTCGGACACCGACACTTCACCACCTATTGCTAGGCTGCAAGCATTGTCACTGCAGGATCATCAGCAGCAGCCAACGATGCAGCAGCAAGCGGCGCAACAACAACCGGGCCTGCCAGGACTGCCGCAGGGCTTTCTGCCTGGACAGAAGCCACCGGTGCCGGAGCGGAACGCTGAGCTGTTGCAGCTGGCCAGCGCCAGAAGAGTACCGCCGCCACCGCCGCCGCGCACCAGCTCCCGATCGCCCCTGGCAAGTCCGACCAGCCCGCAGCTGCCGCCCAGAAATCATCCGTGCAGCCTGCAAAGCGGCAATGCGACTCTGCGCCGCGCAACATCTCGCGGCAGCGGAAACCTTATTGGCAAGGAGGGTAAACCACCGATGGCTTTGCCGCCGGACGCCACGGCCATATTGTCTACCGTGGATCAAATTGGAGACAAATCGGTGCCGATCTCATCGTCGGCACCGACATCGGGCGTCGTCGTGTCTCACAATTCGTCGTCCTCGCAGTCCTCCGCGATGTTGTCGACCAGCAACTCGAGCTCGTGCGAAAGCGTTAACTCGCAAGAAGGGCTGCAGAGCAAACGGGGCCGGCAGGAGCAATTGGAGCAGCGTCATCAGGAATTGTTGCGTAAGCAGAAAGCGTTGCAAGAGCAATACGCTCGACTGCAGCAATTGCAGAGAAACACCGCGGGTCTCACCACCGTGCCGCCGGCGCCGCCCGATCTGCTCAAAAAAACCGGTTCCGAGAGCAACCTTCTGGCGAAAATGGGTCTCGGCCTGAGCACCGCTAGTTCCGGATCCCTCACCAGTCTCAGCATTAAACCGCCGCAGCAGATCCCGCAGGATGTCACTTCCGGCGACGCAAACAATCAACTAACCGCCAACAAGATTGAGATCGCTAACGGACAAACGAACCTGACAACCTCCGCGGTGACCTCCACGGTGACGACGTCGACAACGACGAATAGCAGCAATCATATATCCAGCACTTCCATGACAGTCGTGTCGAGCTCAACGACCACCGGATCCGCCACGACTGTCACCACGTCCACCACGACCACAAGCAAGGTCTACGAGACAGACATTCTGTGACCGAGAAGCCGCTCGCTGATCAATTGCTCGACCGTCAAGGTCACTGAAATCGCGCTGGCGAGTTAACACGGCCGTGGACCGGCGAGATCGCGAGGCTGCTGCTAACCAGATGCCCTCGATTTTCATGCAATACAGTCGTGGAAGAGATTGTTGATAAAATGAGTCAAACAAGGAAAGAAACGAAAAGAAGAAACAATGGAATGATGGACACGAAAGACGGATGGAAAAGACTCAGGATACTGAAATGACAAATCGCCACATTCATAATAAGGAGACCAAATAGCTGGTAAAGACAACGGAAGTATGAAGACGAAGCTCGAGCTATAAAAGCGCGAAGAATCAGATAGAGGGAAAAGAAGAATATGAAAAGACTAAGAAAACGAAGAAGACTACTCCCGATTTTTGAGCTCTCTAAACGCTCCATCGCAAAAGAAATCCTCATGACAGACAAAAATGGAAAGTAGAATAGGAATTTAGACGCGCGAGAACACGCGCGATAATCGCCAGTAATCACAGGGCAGTAATCATTACGGTTAACGATAGCATTAATAATCGTAACAAAACAACGGCGCGAAATCTTTGCGAACGTCCAAAAAAAAAAAAAAAAAAAGAAAAAGACGGGAATGATAAAGATAAAAAACCGAAAACGAGTACGCGAATCTCGACGTTGCGGTTCATTGTACTTTGCAATCACGCGATAATATTCGATGCGCTCTGCAAGGCAGGCAGGTTACATCCGGTTGCTGTTGCACCGACGACGCGCACCGGAACGCGTCTTGCCGTTGATTTTCTCGATTTCTTCCTTCGTTCATGATCAGAGAAAAATGTAAAATTCTCAAAATATCTCCCCGAAGAGATCGAATCGCATCCTGTATCACGTAAAAAGAAGCTTTGCGCAATTCTCGAACAGAGCCTTGGTCTATCACGGCGTATTCTTCGCAACGTTTGTGCCAAATGCAAGAAGAAGAAGAAGAAGAAACATGACACATTTTTTAAATTACACATTATACACGGCCTCGCGCGCATAATTCGGCGACGGCCGTTTGTTTGTCACCCGTAAACCCAGCCGGCTATTCGTTCTTTCTTCGTCGTATAGTAGCGCGAGCGTAAACACCGCCAAGATTCTACCGTAGATGATCATCGTATAAATATTATACATATACAAACGTATTATACATATAAATATATACATATATTATATACATGTACGCGCGAGTCGAGATTTATATAAATATATATATACGTATGAGAGAATGGAAACAAGGTAGCTAACTAAGGTACCATATATGAAGATATACGAGATATACTGCAGTCGTTTACTTACATACACACACACACATACACACATTCGCAAAAATTCTATATACGTACACGCGACGGTTAAATGTCGCGCGCGCGAGCGTCGAAAAAACTTTTCTCGGTCGGCGAAATCATATGAGATACAAGCGTTTCGTTACATACACAATATTACGTGTTCTAACGTGCGCCCATACAGCGGAGACACGGAGACACTTTTTTTGTCGCGCTTTAATAAGACGATTAAAATCAACTGCTACGTGTATATACACACATGCAAAAAAATAAAAAAAAAAAAATAAAAACATCCAGCCGCCATATATGCATATACATATATTATACATACAGGATGCGTAGCGATAGGCGATCGACGTGATTATTCTCGTTACTGGTGAGAGCTTACGGGCGGCATTGTACGACAAACGAGATTCAAAAGCGGAAGCGAAGAAACCGGCACGATTGTACAAGGCGCACGACAGGATCTCGACTCGAGAGATCCAAGAATCCATGGAAAGAACAGGATGCAAAGAAAAAAAAAGATCATTCTTTTTAGTGTAACATCTGCTAATATACCGATGATATAATTGATATTTACTGATAAGTGCGGCGCCGAATATTTATGAAAGTACATTTGTGTGCGCGCGTGAATGCGTGGTCAAGTTGCACCGACAATTCGAATTGATGTGTAATCGCACTGTAATAAACTATCTTTTTTACATTACAATAATCTACACTTATATATACATACAACAGAAGACTTCACGTAAAAACAAACTTGAGGTTGAATGATCAGTTTGTACAATTTACGAGATTAAGATTATAGAGAACTTTGTATCTTGACTTACAAATTTTGCAAGAGAAAATTTTGCTCTCACGAACTTTTGAATATTTTTCAAAACCTGCAAAATGGAAATATCAGGAAATATCTATTGTTAATTCATGTCGGTGTAACTGGATCGTCTTTCTCTACCCTAATGTAGATCCGAGTCGAGAGACACGGCAAGACGCGCGAAGGAACCTGTCGGCGAGTTTTTTCCGACGGCCAAAGGTGTGCGTTAGAAAAGAATATATTGCTCAAATATCTACCAACCCAAAACGCGCAAAAGCTCTATTTGCCACATTTCGCAATTGACGCCGTGCAGCGTGCATCCCGTGTTGGATTATTTGGACGATAGTGATTAATTAGCTAATTATCACTTTTGCGACGGCTCCGTCGTCATCGGGACGACGATTGGTTTTCATCGTTGTTTCATTGTGTCGAGTCGTCATGCTTCATCGTTGATTCATTGTCACAGGCGAAAGGTCGGATATTTACGATTGATGTGACGAAGCGACGATTCACGATTCACATCGATGATCGATCTTTGATCGCTTCGCGCAACACTTGGATCAGTTTTCGCGGACGTGATCGCCAATTTGCACTATTTTATCTCAGCTTATTGCACGAAGAGCGAGCTCGTCGTTGCGCTTTTCCAGACAACACACAGATATCGCGGAATAAATCTGACCTGTCTCTTAAAACCAGCAATCAATCTCTTAAATGTCTAACAATAAGCGAAAAACACGAAAATGATCGAAAAAAATCATGCTATTTAAAACGTCTCTGTTGGACTGTTTGTGTTGTTTGGATCACCAGCGCCCGCGACGCAGTCGCGATACTTTGCTTCGAAGGGCCTAACAAGCTGACATTCGCGTATGTGCGTATTTATTTTGTACGCTTTTACCCTTTTAATTAGCTCGATCGTGTACAGATCGGTTCGACGAGGCTTTCGTACCTTAACCCTCGGATGCGTTCGTGTAAGATTGCATTTGCTCGCCGCGAGAATGAACTCTGAGATCGCGAGACGCGTATTTGTCAGCGTCGGGTCGAATTATTGTTTCCGCTTTCAAGCGCGAATGGCGTGCGTTGCCGATTGTTAATTAAAACGTTAAGATACAAAGATTCGCTAGATAATTAAAAAAAAACTTTAAATGTGAAAACGATGTTAAAAAAATTACGATCTTCTAGATTTAATTGTGAAAATCGTAGATTTGAAAAAAAAAACTTCGTTTCGCGTTACGTTAGTTAGTAATTGGAGAAGAATTATTGAAAATTGTTACTAGAAAATTGTTAGAAATAAATTATGCATGCTGCAATGTTGTCGCGAGATCGTGAATTGATTATAAATTGTATCGACGTAATATGAAAATGATAAAGAGAATAAGATTTAATAGTATATTTTACCATTGAACTTTTTAATCTTATAATTTATTAGGAAAAGTAGAAATATATATATTATATATTATAGTATGAATAAAACGCGACAAATTATATAATTAATTTTACTTGCGAACGATCATTTATTTGCCAATCGTAGAAGATTGACATCGATTGTTAGTCGAAATCGTCGGCGTTGAATTGATCGCATCCGGGGGTTAAAACACACACGCGGTGGAGAAATGCATTATTTTTATTTATTTTTCATTATATTGTCACAATCCGAAGCACATCAATAGGAGAAGTTAATCATTTACTTACGGTGTGTAAAAGTGTGTTGTATTACGAATAAGGCGAATGATACTGATCGATAACGAACATTACGATTTGCGAGTGCTTATATCAAATATTAAACGATATAACGAGATCTCTCTAACAGAAAGAAGAAAGAAATGCGAAGGACTTCTCTCTCATTTTCTTCTTTTTTGTTTTCACGTACGTCTTTGTATATTGTTCCACAAATTGTGTAAGTACTTATACTGCTGTCGCCCACAACCACACCGATATATGTTGCATTTGTATAGAAGCTACTTTTCAGCAGTGCATTTTCGTTCGCGGCGCGATACTCGGTAGAGCTTGTTATTTGTTACCGCGAATATGTTTTACTCGCTAAATATACACCTATTCATCTTTCCTTCCCTTTTCCTTCCTTCATTCCTCTCCTCGTCATCCTCTAATCGTAATGAATGAAAAAAACGAAGCGTTTCGGACAGGGGCGCGCCCGTCGATTCGCGCGAAACAATGCGCGCGATCGCCATTCGGTCGATTCCTTGCGTTCACTCTATCTCCGTTCTCTCCGTATAAAAGCGATTTAGCGAAAAAAAAAAAAAATCATTAGTGTAATGTTTTCTGACGATCCTGTACGCCAAATCGAATTGACTTGTTACATTTGTAAATGTTTGTAAGTACTACCGTACGTAATAAAATAATCGAGTAATAATCATCGAATTGCCCTGACGACTACCGTGTGTCTGTTATCCATCGATTGATTCGACCTTACGAACAACGAATAAAGCAAATCATGACATACCCGCAGTGCAGTCTCACTCTTATTTTACAGGTTGCCCTACGGAGAAACACGACGAATTTTTTTTTTCGGGAAAAATTTACGAGTGCTTTTTTTTTTAGCGGAAATTACGATTAACGTTTGTCGAGAGAAATAAAAAGTGTGAAAGTAAACCGTATTATCCGATAAAATCTTTTTCTTTTTCTCTTCGAAGACCTTGGTAAGTGAAAACAAAAGAAAAAGTATATCACAAACATACTCAAATACTTGATTCTATTATGTTATTATCGTGTAGAATATTTAGGATTAGGGACTTGGAAATGTGCATTTTTTTAAATGAAGAGCAAAGTCGTAGTTATTTAATTACAGTTCAGGAATTATTTATTTTTCTGTTTCTACACTTCTTTCTGTTTCTACACTTTCTTCCGGAGAAATGCCGTGCGCCTTTTTGATGCCTTCCTCCACAATTTGATGTTCCAGTTGCAGTTCTTTGTACGATTGCAGGAGCTTCTCGATTGTGCCCGACTTCGGCGAATCCATTCGCGCATATTGCATAATAAACTCTATGTCGTCCGTTTTTTCGGATTGGTCGACCGTAGCTTTGGTTGTGGGATGAATTTTGTAATACAAACGTATCAATAGCACGGCGTCTTTAATTCGACTGGTTTCAATCATTTCGCATAATAAATTATCAATATTGCTCGTCCACACCAGATGAAACACCATCGGTCCGAAGTGACGCGTGGATCGCAGGATATCAAAATCCTTCTCTAAGTTTACGTATTCGTAAACTTCCCGTGTGATCGTCTGATAGTTCGGGTCATCAGGTTCAAATTGCACACATGCGCGATCCAATATGAATTCGTATTCCTTGCGATTTAGTAAACTCTGTAAAGAATACAGTAACGAATATTTATTGATCCTGAGGTTTTGTTATGTTTCTTTTCAAAAATATATATGTAAAATAACAAATAAATTTTCAACGTACTTACCGTTAAATGTTCGCCTTCAAACATCTTTGATTTGACTAGCTCTCTTCCTGGTTTTGGAAAGTAGATCGGTACAATTCTATCTCGTTCTTGCCAAGTGGCATGTCTTAATGTACCATCAGTTTCTCTAATTACTACAAATCTATCTTTATCATTGAGACCAAATGTAATATCAGTAAATACATATTTGGCACTATTGTGATTCAGCAGTGCATGGTCTTTGCATAATGGCACAGATACATCTGTTCTCGGCTTTACTACTGGTGGCATTTGCAAGTATGTCTCGGCTTTACGTTTTGCAGCCTCCTCAGCCTCTCGAAGTTGTTTGTTTGTCATGAATTTGTACTGCGGTGGTTTGAGTTTGTGATTATCTTTGCGAATCCTGAAAACCTTCTTGAAATCTACCGTTGTCAATGTTTTGAGACATTCTTGAACCTCTTCATTGAAAAAAAATGGTGCCGGATCTCTCTCTGTTGGATTTGCTATGTGATCTGCAACATTGTACGTGATATCTCACGATCTACATTAATAACTAGATAAAACAATAAAATTACTATCGATGTTGATGTCGTTTTTATATATATAATCGGGTTCTTAACAGAATTAAAAATATCTTGGTTTTGATCCTTGGGCAAGTTTGAACCAATATGCAAGGTACCATTATGCGAGTAATTAGAAATCGATATCTTTTTTCCAAACGTTTCGGTTTTTATTTTAAACCTTCTTCAGTGGACTTTAATGGAACAATCCCTCCTTGTTTATCAATGACAAAGTGTGTTAAAAAATTAATCGTTGTCAATTTTAAAAAAATGAAATAGTCGTTGTATGTTTAAAATGAAATGTCGTTGTATGTCAATAGCTTCGTCATTACTGTAATAAAATTACTATATTCCCAATTTTCTTTTATACTGCAGACATTTGAAAACACCAAAGCCTAACCTCAAACATATCTAATTATATAAATTCTTTTATAGAATAATAAAAATACCTGTTTCACTTTTTGCTGAAACAAAACTGCGGTGACTCGAAATTACACGAGTATAGGAATGCCGCAGAAATTTGTTCATATGACGTGAGAGCATAATGGTAAACTTATATAGTAGATTATACACCTCCGAAAACAAAAAACATAACCTCTCTGTGTAGCAGTGCGCACTGCACGCAAACTCTGATGATATGTCTATGATGATCATTCTTATGGATGCGTAGTCAACTCTCTGGGCCAATCGGATTTGGTTCCAAATATTTAATTTTGACATAGCCGAAGTGTGAAGATAAATTGAGTCAATCTGAACAGAAAAGCCATTTGCTATTTTGCAAAATTCTCAATATTCATTGAGTTACTAATTAATTAACGTTAACTAATGAATGCGTAAAAAACGATCTAATCTATCTTCACACTTCGACTATGTCAAAATAGCACTTTTCGGACATTCTATATATATGGTTAATTTATATTTACTTATTAATAAAAAATCAGTAATAAAAAATCATAAGAAAATATATTCTTCATATATAATTTTTATGAAAATCATTATATAATTTTTATAAAAATCATTATATAAGTTTTTATGAAAAACATGCCTGCTTGTTTTGAAAAATTATACAAGTCACAGTGTAAAGCAAAAAATAGTAAAGAAGCAGTCAATTATCAACACACTATTACCTCGAACATTTTCTGAAAATGTGCTGAAATATATAAAAAGAATATCTACATAGTTTGTAAAGTAAGTTTTATATGAGTGTGTACAAAGTGGATAAAAAGAATATCTACACGATTCGTAAAGTAAGTTTTGTGTATGTTGTCTAAAGATTGTATAAATTATCATTTTTAACAGTTTTATAAGATATACAGAATGTTTACAAGATCAGAGTCGAATTGTTTTTATTTATTCGACATCATTAATACATTGCACAAGTTTGGCGGAAAAACACCTTCCTAACTTTAGCGGAAAACATCTTATATAAAGTAAAAAAAAGATTTTTTTTTGTTTTTTACCCTAAAAGCGGATATTTTTATATTTCTTACATTTTTATTCACACAAGACATGTGTTCTTTCAAGTTAGTTTGTAATTTTTATTTTATTTAAATGTCATTTAAGTAAATTTATTAACGCTATCTGTTAACATTGAATCTTACGTGTAACATTGTTCATATGGGGAAGTTTTTATATCGTAACGTATTTTCTTTCAAACTATTTACTGCTCCGTATTTAAACAGAAGAGTTTTCTCTTGTTATTCCATTTCTGATTTCTGATTTTCTTTAAAAAAGAGGAAAAGAGCGCAACTGTTATCTATTACGGCAAAAGGTGAATACACCAGGTAAGTAATTCCCCAGTTTTTTTATACAAAAAAAGAATCTTTATTTATCAGAGCTGTTCTCCTTACGTGAAGTGTGAAATATAAATAGAACAAACTTTCCGCAATTAGAATTATTCATCTTTTCAATGATAATAGTTTGTACGCGGAAAACACTTGTATTATCTCACTTATATCATCATTCGTCATCATCAAAGAGATCCCACCAACAGACAATTGCATTAACTTCTAAGTCTTATCGCTGAGCAAATACGTAGGCTGTGATCGATTGTAGTAATAATCTTATCGAAGTATATCTTAGTTGCTTATAAATAGTCATGAGGATTTACTTTTCCGAACAGTTCGTTGCGCTTGGTTTGCGACTATATCGAGTTCTCGCAAGTTGCCATCATGTCTCTTAACGACTTCAACGAGATCAAAGTGTTCAACGACAACCTGGACAACATGGATATTATCAGAAACATCATCGATGAAGAGAATCAAGAAGACGGCTTCTACATCCTGGACATCGGCGACGTAATAAAGAAACATTGCGAATGGATTAAAAAGATTCCGAAGGTTGTTCCGCACTTCGGTACGTTCGCCCTATATCGCGTTCTTTTCTCATTTAATTATCGAAAGATTATTTTTTGTTCTTTAACGTAGCGTCAAAGTGCTGATTTTCTTACGCGTTGCAGCGATCAAATGCAATCCCGATCCAACGGTGATCAAAATACTGGCCGCTTTAAATGCCGGATTTGACTGCGCGTCTGAGGTAAACTATTGCAACTTTCGTTTTCGTTATTCTCTGAATCACACAAGTTTGCAGACACATACTCTTTAAATTGTGGAAATTTTTATTTTTTTAGTAATATAATATGTTCTTTCCTCTCTCTTTTTGAATTACATATAAGAAATCTTTCTGATATTCTTACTGATACAATCTTCTCTGACTTACAAATATAACAAATAGTTGCAGATTTACACACTTTCATTATACATGTGTATAATATTTTGCAATAGGAAGAAATCAAGCAAGTAATGCGATATGGTGTGCATCCCGATCGGATCATATACGCGAATCCGTACAAATCTCCGTCTCACCTCAAGTACGCGAAAAAAGTCGGCGTTAAAAAGATGACGGCTGACAGCGAGTTTGAGCTCTTTAAGATCAGAGATCTGTGTCCCGAGGCCAAGTAAGTGTGTACCGGATAAGTGAGCGATTATAACGTACATACATACGACGCTTGTGCAACAACTTTCTCGCGATGATTTTGCAGAGTGGTGATCCGCTTACGATGCGACGCGAAAAAATCGGGAGTTGATCTCGGAGTGAAATTCGGTTGCGAATCGGACAAGGAGGCTGTGCACTTAATACGGATCACGATGGATCTCGGACTGACATTGCACGGCTTCAGTTTTCACGTCGGTAGTCCGTGCGATGAGCTGAACGCCTACAGCAGAGGCATCGCGATGTGCAAAAAGTTGATCGCGATCGCCCGAACGATGGGCTGCAAAGACGTGCAATTGATCGATATCGGTGGTGGATTTCCCGGCAACAAAGGAACCGATATCGATAAGGTGTGTGTTATATTTGTGATCACGCGCGTTTTCCGTTTTGTTTTATAACACTACAATTTCAACTACTTTTTTACTATTATTTCATCAGCTCGCCAATCTCATTAACGATGCACTTAAAGATCTTGATCCTGGCATACAAGTTATCAGCGAACCTGGAACGTATTACGTTGCCTCGGCGTTCACCCTGGCTGCTTATTTACATTCTAAAAGAATAGCATGTAAGAAAAATGCAATTATAAGAATGTATTATGTAAACGTTGGTACGTATAATTCGTTCGTAGAAGAACTGCTGGGTTTGAAAGCCAGAGTACCGCAAATTCTTGACGAGGTAAGGAAGTTTTCTTCTGCCTAGAATCTGATCGTTTTTAATCGCGTTTTTCTTTAGAAAAAAAAATACAGTTAATTAATTGAATGATTTATTACTGCAGACCCCGAGAAGCAACGAGAAGTTTCTTTCATCTATCTGGGGACCGACTTGCGACTCGTACGATGCGATTGTTCAAGACGCGCAGTTACCAGAACTTCACATTGGCGACTGGCTCGTTTGGGAAAACATGGGTGCTTACACTTTGTCAATATGCACCACGTTCAATGGTTTTCCAATTCCAGCGGTTGTGCCGATTATAAGGAAGAGTCAATGGTAAATGTTTATATGTAAATTTTAAACACTTTGAAATTTCTTAAATAAATTTAAAAGTTTATAAAGTGTGTAATTTTATGTAACTCAGTTTTGATGTATTGATGTTTTAGGGAAAATTTACTGACACTGATCAAATCGTTTCAAAAAAATACAGGATTTATAGAATGGTCCAAATCAATGAAACGGGAAGATTACATTGAAAGTCGCTGACATTGAATCAATAATATACTCTTTTAATTTGTAGTTTTTGTTTTTCTGTTTTAATCTTCTCATTATATATCTCTTTTACTGTGTGTGAAAAAGAATACAAGAACTACAATTATGTAATATATTTAGTACTCAATATTACACACATACATTTTATATTCAATATTACATATATATTGTAAATAATATAAATATAGTAATTATAAATGTTACATAAGTTTACCAATACTACAATAATATAACGTTTACACATTATAGTATTTAGATAATAACAAATCTAATATGGTGATAAAAATACAGATACATGTTTGTAAAATATATTCGCGCGTGAATTGCGCGTGAACTCGGAGAGTATTACCCCGTATCTTTATTACCCCGTATTTAATAATTAAAATTTAACTAACATAATTAAGTTATAGAAAAGAATATTTAAATTGTCAAAGATTTATATTATTACATAAACAAGAGAATATAAGAATAATATGTGAAATTTGTAATAATATTTAAAGTAAGTTAACTAAAAAAATTTTTAAAAAATTTAATCGATTACATTTACATACTGCACAATACAAGATTATATATCATCAAAAATATAAGAAAAGAGATATTTTTAAGTATGATTTAATAAACACCAATTAATCTTCATTAATTCCATTGTAAATCACATTTATTACTTATACCACGCGATAGGAGCTATGATAAGTAATCGGTCATTACATTTGTATTATGCTATCTGCCTGGAATAATAATTATCTTTTATCTAGATTTGAAATATATTACATAGAAAGGTAAAATGAAATTAGTTCCAAAATTATTGAATAAAATATGTTTTATTATCAGATTTGTTTTAACAAAGTATTATATATTGTTATTGTTAAATATTACTATTAATTAGTAACAATACATAATAAGACATATTTTATTATATATTATAATATATGATATACTATTATTATTAAAGTATCATATATATATTGTTATTTAAATGAAATTATTGTTGCTCACTTTTAGCTCTGCTCTTTCTGATTTACAAATGATTCGATATCTGATATATTTAGATTGTTCCATCTAGAACAAAACAAAAATTGAAACCCAATTTTTCTCAAATATGTGTTAAATATATATCGGAAAAATTGTTCTTCTGTTTCTTACAATATATATATAAATTCACACACACACACACACACACACACACACACACACACACACACATTCTAATTAATTTCACATGATAATAACTTACTCTTGCGCAGTTTGACACGCGCCGGGTTTAAGTCCTTCTCTTTTTTGTGCGATGTATAATTCATTTCCAGTTATAACATCTTCCAACGGTGCTTCGGACGATAAGGAATCCCGCACCTGTTTGAAAATATACATATGTTATTAAAATATGAATGAAGCAAAAATAAAATATTTTTTTATCTCATTTGTTTTAAATACGTCGTAAATATATGTGAGTTTGCTGCACTTACCGCTTCTACTGCTTGGAAAACTCGAATAAAGTTTCTTCCAGCTAATTTTTCTAAATCTTCTCTCGTCCATGTCGGTTCCCTTTCACGATTCTCGTGCAAGCGATCGAAGAGATCGGGAAATTTGGATACATCCTCCAAACCTATCGGCATTCTAATTGTACGATTTTATTGCAAAATATTCACAATGATCGTCCTTTTTACGTGTGCTATGTCACAATACAGAAAGGTGTAATTACTTACGAGGTTACGCCGTCATAATCTGCACCAATACCAACATGATCCACACCGATAAGATTTCGAATGTAATTAATATGATCTGGAAACACATCAATATATATTTAATCAAAACAAAAAACTAATATTGAATAGAAAGTTAATTATAGACAGACGTATTATCAGAAATGACTGATCATTATCGTTGCAACTCGAGAGCAATGATACGACAGAATAAAAGCTTCTATTACACAATGTTGCATCAGCAATTTTGCCATGAGTTTTTCTTTTTTTTAAATTATAATTCTCTCTTTTTTATCTTATGTGCAAACTTCCTACGACTTTATCTACGATGATTTATTTATTAGTGTAGTGAAGTATGTGCGTAATTAATAAATACGTGCGGATTGCGCAATAGAATGAGATATTCAGTACCTACAACATCGTCGATCGTTGCGTTTCTCGTGATATTGCAATTCACAAATTCGTTATAGAAGTTTACCATGACAATTCCGTTATTTTTTTTCTGAAAAAAAGGACACAATTTGAAAATCTACGTGTATGTGTGTGTGTGTTTTTCCAGAAAAAGTTTCTGGGAAATATACTCACAACCAGATGCAAAACATCGTCGGGGACGTTTCTGTAATGTCTGCAAATACTGAAGGCGGACGAGTGTGAGAATATGACGGGAGCTCGCGTGGTCGCGAGTACCTCTTTCATAACGTTGTGCGAGACATGCGACAGATCGATCAGCATTCCAATTCGATTCATCTCGTAAATCATTGTCTATAGTTCACAATGTGATAATAATAATATGTAATTTTGTAATTAATATGTACATTGCTTATATAAATTGCTACAAAACGATCGATATAAAACTTATATAAATCGTTTTTAAATAGCATCGTATTCTAATTTTATTTATATTTGATGTGTGTTAATAATAATGAGGCACAATTAAAACTTTCAAAGATAAATTTCAAGTCAGCATATTTGCTTTACATTTGATCACAAGTATTTTGTGAACAATATAAGGAAATATATAAATAAGTATACTGAAATGCTGATTAGTAATCGTTGATTTGTTTTTGTTTGATCAAATTTACGATATCGACTTTTCAAGTTGTAATATTCTTTTCTATCTTCATTCAATTACTGTTTGCTAACGTAAAGTCATATCATAGCAATCTCATTTGTTATCAAGAAAGATACCCTGCGAATACTTGTAAAAATATGAAATATTGCTCTCAATAATATTTCGGCAAAATATAATACAAGCCACGTCAAAAACTTAAAAATAATAAATAATATATACTTGCAACATTTCTTACGTACTTGCCCAAACTCGGTCAGATTGTACACATATCCATCATTTACGGGAGACGCATCAGCCCTGAAGAAAAAAACCAATTTTACGAACTTGAGAAATTTCTCTCTCTCTCTCTCTCTCTCTCTCTGTGGGTTTTTAGCAAAAAACAAAATAACATTTTTCTTGGTTTTGACAACACACTTCAAGATAAGATTAAAAATTTCTTTGTCATCGTCATTAAGATAAGCAAAGAATTCGAAAGTGCGTAATATATTATACAACACAAGACTGAAATAGGATATCCCGTATTTTGTGACTTATGTATCCTAGGCACAGAGAATTTGCGGCGCTTACGATTTTCTGAACCTAAGTGCGATAAGAGCAAAAATATTCCATTACGCTCGACGTCGTACCACGGCGTGTTGCAGGTATGAGTCAGTGTCAAGTAACGGACTCCGAGGTCGTAAAAGAGCCTCAGAACCGCCAGGCTCGAATCCACGGAGTGGCCGCCCTCGACGGCAATCATAGACGATATCCTACCGGTTCTCCATACGGTCTCGATATCACTTGCGGCGGTGACCAGCTGCAGATTCTTCGGGTATCGACGTATCAGCCGCTTGATCACATCGATCTGTCGTAACGTCAGCTGCACGGAATCCTTGTACTGCGATTCGCACGATACGTACGCTACCCAAAACTAGAAAAAGCAACCATATATTCAATATCGTTATCGCGGAAGCGGCGGACACGGACGGTGCGCGTAAAAAAAACATGTGCGGTAGAAAAAAAGTTGTCCGAGAAATAATGATCTTGTATCGCAACACGTGACAGAAAAGATATGATATAATAAATAAAACAACAAAAAAAATATATATAAGTAATGAAATATGATAAAACTATGAAAGTTCCTTAGAATGAAAGACAACCGCACGAGAGAGCGGGAGAAGATAATTAATCTCGCAAAAAGAGCAAGATTCTGTCGTGCGAGATCTTGTGACTCACTTGTCCACCCACTTTGCCCTCAGTCAGGCGAGGCAGATCGGTGAAACACGACGGACATGCGGTTCTTCCCCAGATCTCGTCCTGACTCAGATTGCTTTTGAAATTGAAAGCCGATATGTTGTTGCTCAGCTTCTTATAAAGATTATACGGCAAGTCATTGTGACTGCAAACATACATGACACAATAACAATCCAATAAGACACGCTTAGAGCTGATTCTATTATTTGTGCGATTATTTGTATGCATCTTAGAGAATTACATTTTTTGTTATTTTCAGAAATCACACATTACGCCCAAAATAATTTGCATTCGTAAAAAAAGAAATTAAATGTGATCCTCTCGAACGTTTTAGAGAGTCAACGGGATTCGATTAAATAGTGATCGTCGATTCACGTAACTCGCGAGATAAATACGATTAATGCAAAATCACTTATGTAATAATAAATCATCATTTATGTGATAATTCGCACAGTGAGACATTAGCGTTCACGTCTGCTTTTGGGACACTTCCATTCTCTCGTTTTTTGTTTTATCTTATTTATTTATAATATTAATACGATCTCGAGCTGATATATCATCCCTGAGTTCGAGTAATACGATCGAGTAATTAATACGATCGAGTAATACGATCAAGTAATTAATACGATCGAGTAATTATTACATATAACAAAGTAAAAAACAAAAAAAAGTAAGGAAAGAAAAACGATAGATATAAACGACAATCTACGCTAAAATGTGCAAAATCGCGTTAGCTCTAGCAATTTCTTGTCTCGATTACAACATTATCGTATTAATCGAATCAAACTGTGCCGGTCATTTGCTTCTTTCATCATCACATTTTCAATTACATACGATTACTTTACCCATCAATAAGCGGCGCTGAGTCGAGAGCGTCTCTCCCTTTAAAGACGTTTACGCTCAGACCCACAGATAATCCAATCACAAGTAGAAGGACTGATATGAAGACGGCGATGTTAATGTACATCATTTTCCCCGTACAACATAAAAAACTCGTGCCTGAAAAAAAACGAAAACATAGCAAAGTTAAAACCTCGTTTTATCGTAGAGAAACAAGGCGGTATTTAAAAACGTACATAAAACTTAATTACAAGAGTTGAATTAAAAATATATTAAAAATAAAAATATATAAAATATCCAAATATATAAAACGTAAAATTACATAAAAAATTTACTTGTTTATAGTGTACATCATTCTGTACATTTGGTTTTTTGACACAGAATGGTTTAAGATAGTAGATAAATGTTCTTCTTGCGGTTTACGTATATATTTTATTATTCTTTTTTTTCTATTAAAGTACGTATAATATAAATATTGTCACAAAAATACATATATCAGGTGTTTTAATCAGTAAATGTAAAACAAACATTTATTTTTAAAAATGCAAAATAAAAAACGGAGTATTGCGTATGAGAGCGGTAATTCCCGTGGAAATGGTCACTTAGCTGGGGAGCGATAAACGGTGTTGATTCATTTAGAGCACTCATGTCGGATGTATTGCGTGTATTGACGCTACTGATAATACGTAAGAAACACGAGATAGCTGTGTGTTTCGAATGTGCGCTCTTAACAAATAATTGTCAATTGTCGATATCAGATAATGACATATACAATCGACTTTGTAACTCACAAAGTTGCAAAAAATAATGTCTCATTATTTAAGATATTATTTGTGCAACATCAATCAAAGCCATTACGCCGCCGATTATTGTATGTTTGTAATTCATGTAGATATAAATGATGGTTAAAAAAAATATTTTGTTATATGTATTACACATTTTAATGCATTTTCTTACATTGCTATGATACAGATTGTCTCAAATTTGAGATAAGTAAAATTACAACAATTGAAAAATTGGCAATAATAAAATCTCTGTAGTAAAATGATTAAGTAAGATTACATAATTAAGCACTGAGAGAGATAAAGGCAATTAGATTAGATTGTATCATAAATCTTATATTAAAGATTCGTAAAAATTACAGATTGAACAACGGACATTAGATAACAAATTGCCTGTCACATGTGAATGACACAGAAACCAGATACATCATAAAAATATTACAGGTATAAGCAACAATAATGTTCTTATCGCACAAAATCTCTCTCTCTCTCTCATAACTGTATTCTTATTTAATAATTATATTTTACTTGTCAATCGCGTCGTAATTGTCGATAAGCACGATAGAAAAAGTAAACTATAATATACTCAGCAAATTTACCTATTTTAAATATTGGTTTTTGTCGCCATGTTATGTTTGTTTATTAAATTTTCGACAAGATATCAATTTCTTGATTTCTCGCAACTAAAGTGATAAAAATAATAATTTCTTGATTACTTGCAACTAAAGTGACAAAAATCTTTTTAAAGATTTTGCAATCGGCTATTTTAAGATCGCAAGTTTATGAATGTTCTCTTATCAGTTATAGTAATATCACGCTCAGTAAGTTACACACAATCATCAAAACTCTAGTTAAAGTATATGCACGTAAATATTATATACGGACGCGTATAAACATAAAAAAACATACTTACAACGCAAGAAACAAATTTATCAGAATCTCTCGCGACTCATCACATTGACCAACTGAAGAGACAAGTCCGAAAGTATGAATTTATATGTGTTTTTTCTCTCGCACGATTAAATTTTATCAGTATCAATTAAGTGCATCGTAATTGCATATAGCGTATTTGCTATAATTGGCAGAAATAAATCGCGCGAGAATCAATCAAATTTCAGAAAATAAAACGAGCCAATAAATGTGAGATAAAGAAACTGTAGATGTTCAAATCATTAAAAGTTAGCTTATCGTGTGTTAGCGGATGTGACAATCTTCTCGCAACATTTTCGATTGCGCATAACATAATAATACTTTCGCACTCTTCATATTTATGTACATCGAACAAACTCTGCACTATGTGAGCCACTTTAGTGGAATTAAGTATGACTTATTTTTTTGCACGCGCAACGCCAAGACAATGATTTGCAACGATGATCCGAGATTTCGAACGGGCTCGACGAAATTCCGGACGGATTTCGATGACGCAATCTTTAACGACAATATCGCGCGCCATACGAATTCGTCGCCTATACTCCGATAAAATACATTCTACCAAACATTATACTCTTAATATGAATAAATGCGGTAAGTACTAGTTTCACCCATGCAGAACGTAGCGAAGTATTCCCCCGACGGTGATGAGATCACACGATGAACTGCTGAGAGGATGACATTGCCTTGAAACGCGTTTAATGTACGCTTCTAGTGTACATACAGAGTGTCCCATAATTGCCGTCTAACCGCTCGTAAGTAGATATAGAACGGTTATTCTAAGATGAAAAGTTCTATACCACTTTGCAAGATTCGCAATAATTAACGAAATATTAATTAATAAAGATCCGCTAATCAGCGTGCATCCAGCGTAAGGACAGCTCAGTCTGTCGCGCCGTAGCGACGGAATGGGAGGAGATAATAGAATAACATGTGCATACATAGACAGCATATAGACTGCGTTTCGGGCAGCGCGCTATCCGCGCTATTGTATTCCCGGCGCGACAGACTGGGCTGTTCTTACACGCTGGATGCACGCTGATTAGCGGATCTTTATTAATTAATATTTCGTTAATTATTGCGAATCTTGCAAAGTGGTATAAAACTTTTTGTCTTAGAATAACCCCTTCTATCTACCTACGAGCGGTTAGACGGCCAATTATGGGACACCCTGTATATGCGTAACGGACCGTCATGCGATAGTACATAATACATCAGCTTATAATAGATACCTGCTATATTTGATGTCTCGCTACAAGAGCGAGATAAAGTCCTTTACAGCAACGTGTGTGTTGTCTCTGTTCCTTCGCAATAACGCAGTATATGAAAACTGTGTCTCATTCAACAACGTGTCGAAATTTCTCACTTATATAATAAGCTTAGAACATATATACTGGAAGGGGCATTACCTATCCATACGTAACAAGTGTCCGTAACATCTATCTATCCTTGTCTGCACGAAATCTGTCAATGTGCCTGCGTGAGAGGATAACCGATTAAGAAAGTATATATGTGTATGTGAAGGTATATATATAAAGGTATATACATATATGTTCTAGCTTGTCATACATACACACATACAACATAATCGACGCATGCGTATTGCGGTACCATGTACAGACAAAGATAGATAGATGTTGCGGACAACGGTAAGTTAGCTATGCCCCTTCCAGTATATATGTTTTATAAGATAATAAGCTCGTAATATAGCGACGGATAAACGCGCGAGATATATCGTCAATGTTTATCGCCTAGCAGCCGTCACGGAAATTAACGTTGCTTTTCTATCAGTTATTCCACAGATAACACGTAATCTCGTCTCTTATTAAAGAACTTTTTCTATCAACTGCAATCAAAAATAAATTGGAATCGAAATTTTATGTAGATTTCATAACGTGAGAAATATGATGCAATTGTTTCTGTCGCTGTAATATTGTGAAAGTTGCGATTATATTGATACAAAAAAAATTTCGAATTTTGTTTTTATATGATTATAATTTTAACATATTGACGATATTCGCGAATAAAAATACTATTTATTTAAATAAAAAACAAAAGATTCAGAAATGTACATAAACTACTTGTTATTTGTATGTTATTTACATACAAATATATGTACGTACGAGTACACAAATTTGATTTCTGGAACAAGTTTGTAAACTTATATACTATTGTTCCATTACATATCTTAAGTTTTCCATACTTGTACCAAAAAACAAGACTGAAAGCAATCAAAACATAAAAAATTGTAATAGCTTTTCCGCTCTGTAAGCCAGCGATGTGTTTATGGGTGGTGCACATTAGCAACTAGCCATGTTCACAAGCGACTTGTCGGTGCGTACGCTATGTCCAAACGTAGACACGATTCTATTCCGCGCTGTGTCCACAATGTGCAGTTGTATTCTGTGCAATATGCACAAGTCCAAGTGTCGCAAATTAATTACATGTGCAAATATTCTTAGAACGCGAGATTTTAGCGAAAAGAGATTTTGCGAGAAGATAACCGAGTGGGAAGATAAGTGAGAGGGAAAATAAATGAAGTTTCATTGTATTAGGATTACATGTATGATCTGCGCATAGAGTGATGCTTTCATACTCTCGCTCAGTCATGAAAAACCAAATATCATGATTAGCAACTACAGTGAAATTTGAGATTGGAGACGAGATCTGAGATTTGAGAAACAATTATGACTTCTGACCTCAGTCTTCGCTCTGCTTGTGTAGTATGTCAAGCTATCCAAATGTTAGTAAGTCGAGTAAAAATAACCAGCAACAGGTGATAAGATATCGACTTTGTCCTTCATTATCAGCGGTAAGTATACAACAAACAAATTTATACAACTTAAAAATATCAAACGTATATAAGATAAGTAAGAAATGGAGAAAATATATATTAGTAAGTATTCATAGTACTTTACTGAAAAAAAAAATCAAAGTGCTTAGTTTTGTTTAACTCGCTTTACTTTTGCACATCTGGTTCGATTTGGAGCAGTTGTGACTTTTGTATATCTCACGAAGATGACACTGAATATGTTATTTAGGAGATGCTACCATCTAATGAGAAAAAGGTAAAATTCTTCATACGATTCGAGCAACAAATTCTACATAATTAGAATGTATTTTGATAATCCTTAAAATGTTTAAACAAAGAAATAGAGTTTTATATTTTATCGATTTTCAAAATATGAATATTTGACGCTTATTTTATATGACGCTTATATTATACGAGTACAAAGATTGATTACACAGAAACTTGATACATATTTTGGCACAATGTATTCAATTTGCATAGTTTTTTTAAGGTCAACTAGTACGTGTATGACAACAGCGTAAAGTGTGTCGTAAAATAAAGATCTCTCAATAAAAATTAATGTCGCAATCGATGCTTGCTTTTCGTGTTGAAAATCACACACGAGCATCACGACGATTTGATAATTCTTTGATGTCCAAATCGCAAGTGGTCTATTCTGGCGCTTGCGATCTAGCACGAAAAAAGCATCGTGTGTCGCAAGCTTTACATAACGTGTTTACTAACTGTTCTGTGCCAGATAAAAATTCCGGAAGCAATGTCAGATTATTCTTTGGATTTCTTAGAAAGCATTGATTCCTTAGTCATTCTTTAGTGCAGCCCGTTCTAGTGAACAATGATAATGACGACAAGCGTAACCTCAAAGCAATTAACTTCATTGAAAAATTTGTCAGGAATGTTCTGTTCTATGTAAATTTGATAACGTCAAAGTCTTCTCGAATAAAAGGTAAGAAAAATGGTGAATAAGCTTTTAAGATTTTAAGACTTCAAGTTTAAATAGAAAACTTGATAATAATTAATAATAATCCAATAAAAAATGCAGTAAAATTAAAGTCTATCTGTCATTATTTAGAAATTTTGATAAAGATTTTGTTCCGAGATAAAAAAAGGTAAAGAAAATAAAAGAACTTTCTGAAAAGATTATAGCATGTACTTAAAATATATTTATAGAAGCACAAGATTTTTAAAGCTCTATCTTTCTTTTTAATTATGTGAGATATAAAATATTTCTTCAAATATTTTTCTGAAAAAGATAACGATCCAGAATTAAAATTATCATCATGTCGGACCGAAAATATTCCTCTTCTCCTTCGTTAGCGGACAGTAATTGCGAATACAAGCACGTATGTGCATATCGCGCAAAATACGCACGTGATAAAAAAGACAACGGCGCCATAACGGCGATGAGGCGATGTGTTTTGCTTAATGCGATTCGATTTGCCGTAATCTGGAAAGCCGTGGTTCTCGTCGACACCGGCGAACAATATACCCGGATATCGCGCGCTAATTAATTAATAATCGGCGCAGCATCGCCGACGAGACGTGACGGCGGCCGTCGACAAGTCGATCGAAAGTTGAACGGCGGCGGTTTGAGAGCACGGAATTACCGAAGCCGATCGATCGCATCTCGTTAACAACAGCACCAATTACATAACATAAAACATAATGTCTGGACTCGTGGTTGTTTGCAAAGTAATGTAAAACTCCGAGGAATAATTAAAACAACGATCGAAGTTAGACAACGATAAAGCGAAGAAGATAAGAAAAAGATAGAAAATTTGTTATTGATTTTAGCAAGAGAGAAATTGAGAGAGAAGAAAATAGAAGAAATTTTTATTTTCTTGTTGATAAAATAATGCTAAGAATATTAAACAAAGAGCATAAAATGTTTAAAAAAAACGCTGCGTTTATACAGGGTGACCCAGTGAAAATGACCACATTTCTTTTTTGAATAACTCTGGTGGTAACACTGCTACAGGGACGAACGCGCGCTCTATGGTTAGTAGAGACCTGGGAGATTTCTGTTATCAACATTTTAGTAATCATGGAACGTTACACTGCAAAAGAACGAGCATTTTGTGAAGAAGCGTATTTTCGAGATAAATCGGTTGTGAAAGTTCATAGAGCGTTTCGTAAACAGTTCAAAATTAAAAGTAATGAATCTGTAATCTTTTAATGAGCGATGAAGCTCATTTCGAACTCTCTGGATCGGTAAATAAACAAAACTTTCGGTACTGGGCAAGTGGTAATCCGCAATTCATTCAAGAAAAACCGTTACATAGNCAACGAGTTACAGTATGGGCCGGTGTAGCGTCATGGNGAATTATCGGACCGTATTTTTTCGACGGTACCGTCAATGGAGAGAGGTACAGGGAGATGTTAAACTCGTTCCTCATCCCCCAACTCCGCCGCAAACGTCGTTTGAATCGAACCTGGTTTCAGCAAGACGGGGCAACTTGTCACACCGCCGCTCTTACACTTGCGTTGTTGAAAGAAACGTTTGGAATTCGTTTATTGTTACGTTCTTCAGATTTCGCTTGGCCGCCTGGCTCGCCAGATTTGACGGTTCCAGATTTTTTTCTGTGGGGGTATTTGAAAAGTCGTGTTTATGAAACCAAGCCCCGTGATCTAGAGGATTTAAAATCGAGGATTAGAGCCGAATTCGCAAAAATTTCGGCTTCCATGCTGAAGAAAGTATTCAAAAACTTCGTTAAACGATTGGAAGAATGTAAAGCCCAAAACGGTCATCATTTGAAGGATGTAATATTCCATAAATAATCTCCCATGTTTCTACTTTTCAAAGATTTTTTTGTTACTTTTATATCTGTAATACTTTTTTTGTTATTAAAGAAATAAATGTGGTCATTTTCATTGGGTCACCCTG